TTATTTTAATGTCAAGTTTACATTAATGTGATTTAGGAGTACACCTGACCTAGTCATACTTATCTTCTTAGTTCAGCTACATCTGACATGTGACAACAGCACATCTGTCTCAGTGGCACATGCATTTATGAGTATACCGGCTAGGGCAGACAGACAGAGGAGACTGGTGTCCAAAGTCACGACCCTGCCCTGACCTGAATGAAGGAAATGGTCACACTGCTTGAGACAAAGCAGGTTAAAGGAGAGTCTGAGGGGCTGGCTGGTCAGGCTCTAACAATGGGTCCGTGCTCTAAGACTGTGGGCCACACAAAGGCCACAGAAACCCCCTTTTTCTACTCCCACATTGCAAAAGAGATGGCATTTCACACCGGCCTGTGAACAGCCATTCAATCAAACTACTGTTTAACCCGACCCCTGGCCTTAACAGAAATTAAGATGGGTCTGGCGGGATGTATTTAGGTAACTGGCCACACTGAACTCACTTCACCTAGCCAGCATCAAGTGAACCAACTGAACCACGGCTTTTTTTCAGTTAATATTACAAGACTTTGAATGTCAAAATCTGAAAATGCATTCTACGTTGTAATCACTGCTAAAAAAAAAAAGTGGATATTCTTTAAAGCATGTAATCAATAGGTGTCTCAATAAATAACATGCCTAGTGATAGGGTGTAAGAAGCAGTAGCACCCTGGGGAATAAGAAACATGACCAGACCCTTCGTCTGGGTCAACTACCCTCAAGCTGGGGCTGAAAGAGGCAACCACATGACCCTCTCTCTTCTCAATGGACTGCTCCTCCCTTCTACCTGTACGTGGCTCGGATCAAGGTGTGGGGGCTGAATATCAAACAGACTGAGGCCTTTGATGTGGATAGAAACACAAACACTGATTTGAGCAGAGTCGTAACAGCTTATTTGTTCCCTTTAGTCATTCATTGAGCTGCTTGTTGAATGTGCATGTCTTCAAAGGACCGCTGCATGCACCAGTGGTACAGTAGCTGAGGAGGACCTGAGAGATGGCTGTCCTGGAGAGGTTGTGGGAAGGCCATCTGGCTTCCTGTTCCTTAGATTTGATATTGATTTATTGACTGTACATGGCAAAGATAAGGGGGGCAGCAGCTGCCAGAAGTTCTCCACCGCATCCTCACAAACAATGGACCTCCTGGTCATCTGCATCCTGACTAAATAGTTCATTCGTAGGTTTTTACAGGGAAAAACATGTGTTACAGAAGAAACAAGTGTAATATAAGGTTTGTCTTTTTAAAGTAACGAGAAATGTCAAAGGTCACTAACACAATTACACAAATTAACCCCTTTAAGGCCACAGATTTATCACTAATTTAAAACTTTATAGTGTATATAAACACATTTACTGCTCTGCAGAGCTGACATAATGGCAGTTTTAACGTGCGTTGCGATAAATACTGATCCCAATAATGAGGTGCAAAATTGCATTCACTATTCCTAACAACCCCTAACAACCTTTCACAGTTTACACAATCACAGAAACCATTAATTCAAATTTAAGCTCCCATGAATAACACGTCTCCCATTCCTGTTAAGTGAGCCAGGAGCAGTTTGGCCTGATCCCTGTTGTTAGAGGTGTTAAAGCAGTGCCACAGTAAATTGTACTCAAGCCTCATCACCAGTGCAACACCCCCACCCCCCCTTTAAAGAAAGACACACTCACAGAGAGAGAGACTCTAGTGTCAGCCACCCAAGCCTGTTCCTCTTGCCCACCCCCGAGCCTTTCTTCCCTTTCCCTGCCCACACAAGCCTGTGATGTGACTGTCTGAGATAATGAGGTGAGAATTTTACTGCAGAGCTCTGTGAGCCTGGCACCAATCTGTGAGGAGGAGAGCCACCGGGCTCTGGTCTGCAGGCTCTCTGGTATGGAGCGCCCTCTGTTGATTGCTGTGAGCTCACAACCACTGCTCTCGCGGGTCTGCAATGCACTTCAAAGTGGGAGATCAAGGGTCGACTTGCGCATGACATCCAGAGAATGACAATGCCTCAGCCAGCCTGCACCTACTGCAAGATACCAGTCCCCCAAACACAAAGGGCAGCGCCCGCAATACTTTTCTTCATGGAGGAAGCACATATTCACGACAGTGATATACATACAGGAAGAAAGTAGTGCTCTATCTGCATTCTACACAAATACTGTTGGGCAGAGGCAGTGTGGGAAAGGACAGCAAAGGAGACATACTGGCAACAGATTCTTTGAGGCGCTCTGTTTGACTGCTGAAGCATTAATTGATAAGATACAGCAAGAGCCATCATCACACTGCTTATCTTTACAGAAAGATACCTCATTATCTTGTGTATTTCAAGACAAACATGTATAACAGCGTGATCAAAGCGTTTTCAAAGTGGCCTCTTTCAGCTACTTTAATATTCTATAGTTGAAGCACAGATGTGAATAACAGTCACTCCAGCTTCTCTTTAATAAATAAAAGCGGAGCAGTTGCATGAATAGCAAATACGAACTTGCAGGTTTAGTTAGATCCTGCTCATAATCATTGCTGCAACTGCACCCTGATTGTTTCGTGCAGCAGTGAAAGCTGCTTTCCCGTTCACACACACGCACACACGCACACCCTTTTCCACCCCAGCAGGCAGCTAGAGGTGAGCCTCTTGTGATCAGGCTGTCGTTTCCTCCGGTTGGCTCTGTTATTCCAGAAAGCCTTTGTAAAGGAGCCAAGTGGCCCAGGCACAGACAGAAGGTGGGCTCCTCGCATGCATCTGAGGATGTCAGGCAGGGGAGGGAGGGAGGGAGGTGCTCCTGGCAGGCAGAGACAAGAAGAAAACAAACATGGAGCTGAAACAAGACAGCAGCATTAAATCCCTGCTGATTTATACAGTAAATCAGACCAGATTTACATTGTTGTTATAATAAAGAAAACACATCAAGGATTTACCTGATTGACACGTGTTAACAGATCCAAAAAAAGGGTTGAGATTAAGTGTATGCTCACTTTAAACAAACCATGTGTTGCGCAATTCTGGTCAACACGTGTTTGGAGAAGAGTACAACTCAAAAGAGGATCCTGAAATTAAATGAATAAGAAAATTAGAAGTCTTTAACTGTCCGAAGTCTCTCAAATCAAGCATTCACTTTTAAAACTCAAAATCAACCTTAAGCTGAGTAGGAAACTCAAAAAACTGACAGAAAAGACAAGGGTTGGCGTTCTGCTGCTGACAAGTGTTTGTGCTTTACAACGTGTTTTATTGTGTGGTCTATGAGCAGGACTGCCATGTAGTAGCCATGTGACTTTTCAGAGCCATGTGACTTTAATTTTTTGTAAAAAAGCGACTATGAAAGGCTGTGGGTGTGGAGCCTGAAGCGGAGGAAGCTGTCCAAGCTACAGACAATATTGGAAAATCCTGCACACAAAGCATGACATGCTGGATAATTACAGGAGCAGGTTTATCAAAAGAACCGTTCCACCTCAGAAGATCACAGGAAATCATTCCATCAATCTTTACAACTCCTCCCTATGATTGTTATTGGGAATACAGACCTACCCCTGGATTATTTCCACTTCTCATTATCATGTATGTGATTGTTTAGGTTTGTTCAACTTTGGAGTATTTATTTTAACACACAACAGTTCTTATTTTTCTACCTTTCATGTTTAAATTTAAAGTGAGAACATTATAACAAGGCAGTTTCTCCCCCATGATTAATAAATTATTCAGATTCAAAGCATGAAAGCCTTAAAATAAAAGCCTACATGGCTAAGGTTGCGTAATAGCATTACTGCTGACTGACCCAGTGTTATAATTTTTTTCATTAAGCACAGGTTGAGTTTTTAATTTTTTGTTAAACATAAGATTTTATTTTCTAATGTTGAAGTCAGATTTGTTTGGGTTTTTTTTTTTATGTTTTTCAGAAGATGCGATAAAAAGTCTACGAAAAAGTCTTGATTAATATGTGTATACACTAATACAGCAGTAATTACACTAATTTACAGAACAATACTGTGCAAGGGTCTTGAGCCACCCCTCAATAATTTATATGCTGCTTCCAAGTAGTCAGACTTTCTTTCAATTTTTAAAGTTTTCTTGTGCAGTAGTTCTCCAGACTTCCTGAAGGTCTTTTAATGTTTTTCTTCGGATATTGGATGCTTTTTAAATTATTTCCTTAGGAAAGATGCATCTGGCTTTTCAGTTGATCAATTAGTCATCTGACGCTTCATCAGAAGTGGTCTCGGTGGAAGGGCGGCTCTCAGAAAACCATTCTTAAGGAAGGGAAACTGGGAGTAAAGGCTGATGTAAGCCAAAGTATCCAAGAACTGGACTGAAAATCAATGACAACAGGTCTTATGGCGTGACAAGTGCAAATTTGAAAGTTTTTGTTCATCATCATTGTCAGCATGTATGGAGAAGGTCAGGAGAGAGGTCCAACAGTGAGTGTTTACAGCCATCTCCTAAACACAGTGGACACTCTGTTATGGTTTGGGGCTCCATTTAAGTTGGTGGTGTTGGGCATTTTGTCAAAACTGATGTAAATATGATCACAGAAAAGCACCATCGGAGTTTGAGTCACCATGCAATATCATCTAGAAAGCATCTGATTGGAAACCGCTTAATTTTTCAGCATGAATATGATCCCAAACACACAGCCAACTCAGTAAAAGCATACCTGGGTAGAAAAACAGAAGGGAACATTATCAGTCATGAATTGGCCTCACCAGAATGTGGACCTCAACATTATTAGAGAAGAGTGGGATCATCTTGACAGAGAATAGAACAAAAGGCAGCAAACATCCAAAGAAGAACTTTGAATGTCCTTCAAGAAGACAAAGAAAGTTCAAGATGTGTTGAAGAACAAAGGTGCTTGTACCAAATAATGATTTTGAAGAACTTTTATGCTTTTGCATCTTTTATGCTTCTGATAATCAGCAGGCATGACTCACATTTGTAGGGACTTTAATTTGCGGCATTGCATCGTCTGTACGTAATAATTGATCCGAGGTCAAAGCGCGCCCTCTGCTGTTCAATGCTCACCCACGGCAACGACCAAAGTGACGTGACTGTCACATTACACCGCCGGTCGGGATGGGCAACGGACACCTCCTCGCCATCTATATTTAGATGTTTAACCTGTATAAGCAAATCCTAGAAAACTGCAACCATCGGGGGAGCCAGGCGGTTTGGAGCATTAAGGCCAGGCAGCAATGGCCACAGTGAAAAAGGACGACAGGCTGACGAGGTCTCAGAGCTTCGTGTGCGTCGGTTTCGCCGGGTTTTTTAGCAAAACTGTCACGTCACCTTTAGAGGTGGTCAAAATTAAAAGTCAGGTGGGCACCTTTCACTCCAAGAGGGGTTTCTGGCAAAGTTTTCTCATCATCTACCAGAATGAGGGGCTTAGGGGATTTTGGAAAGGAAATCTCGCCTCTTGCCTCCGGTTGTTTCCCTACAACGCAGTTCACCTCGCAACATACAGAAAGTGAGTAAAGTTACTTATACTTATGGTTTGTCTCACGCTGTATGGACTGCAAAGCATTTTATGTGATCGTTCGACCCAAATTTATCCTAAATAGTTTGTTATTCGACTTGGGTCACGTGACGTCGACTTTGCGTCTGTGTTTTGAGGTGTAAAACGGAATGAAACACGCTGAAATTACAGAAAAAATAATATTCAAGCTAATTCTTTATGTATCAGGACCTAAAAGAATAAAAAATAGTTGACGTAAATGGTCTGTTTTCTTTTATCCCTGAAGTTAAAGATGCACTTCCTGTTTCTCTATGCGAGTCGCACGCTCCATTTTAAGCCAATCAGAAGGCTGGATTTTCTCAGCCGAGTTTTAAAGTCGAGGGTTGTCTCTTCCCCGGGTTTTGTCTCGCAGGTAGTGTGCCGTTATTAACCATCGTGAGGTGCAAAATGTTATTTATTCCCGAAACTGGTAGAAAATGGTAGAATTAACGTTTATTTTCTCATAATTTCGACTTACTATCGAAATTGCGTTTATTACTGAGTAGATCGAAATGTCCAATTTTGACTTATGGATGGCAATGGAAGACACTGGCGTCACTTCAAATTCAGTCAAACCTTTAAGCCGTCCCATTTTTTTTCAGTAGACTCAAGAATCCTTCAAATTTATTAGGTTAAACTGTTGAAATAGTTGTTTTTGCTTGACAAATTGCTCAAATTATTAATAAAACCACATCCACAATATTTGAGATTTGGGGTTTCGTTCTTTGAAGATGTCCCAAATTTCCCAGCCCCGCTTTGTTAGGGTTTGTTATATGTTGCAGCTCTGATACGTAGAAATATAAGCAGTTGGATGAACTTTGGTTTGGGTCTGCGAGTCCTGTGGTTTTACAAAAAATCCCAGTAAGAGGAAATAATGCCTATGAGGCAAAAATGAGGGCATGTATACCGATTCACTGCTGGGTAACTTTAGGACAAAACACAGGCAGTAAGCAGCCGGCAAGACAACAGTAATCCCGCAAAGAATAGCAAATCTACTGCCTACTATCTGTATTAGTCATTATGTTTCCCGATGAGGTGTTTTTGTTTCGTTTTGTTTCTTATACGCGTGTGCGCACATAAATAATACGTCCTGAGTGGCCAACCTGGTGTCCTATGCTGTACACACAGTTCCAGGAAAGAAGGCCTTTTCCTATATGTCTGTGACACTCACAAATACACACACGTGGATTCAGTTATTCACGTGTTTCTGTGTTGGAGGCTTCCCAGAAGTGCTCTGAAATAAAAAAATAGGTGCAGTAGATGTCCGGAAAAAATATTTCAAAGCAGCAGAGCTTGTCTGACTGCTCTGAATACACTTAATGTCATTTGCATGTGTATTTTAAATACTAACACGATGCATAAACAAACAGGGTGGCCTTCGATGTTGTGAACAACCACTTGGATCTTGTCTTTTTATATATAGCTATCTATTTATACATGTGTATCTATATATCCATGTGCATGTATTGTGTTGGACTGTCTACAAGACAAACTGTCTTACAGGGACATCTGAGTTTTATTTCTCATAGATTTATTTCTTTCCTCTGTGTGCAGGATAGTCCACCTTCACATGGATGAACTGGGCTTCATCTCTCAGTGGAGAGCCATATTTGCTGGTGGACTGGCCGGTGTTGTTGCTGCTCTGGCCACGTACCCGCTGGAGGTGGCAGAAACCAGGCTGATCATTCAAAACTGCAGGCAGCCCACATACATCGGCGTGGCTCACTCCTTGTCAAAGATCTACAAGAACGAGGGGCTGCTCGCCCTCTACAGGGGATTTTCCCTCACTGTCTTGGGTTCGTATACACGTTGCTACAAACTAATTCGTTTTTAGTGGATCGTGTAATATTTTGCATATGAATCTCATGTCACGAAACTCCACCTTTACCTTTAGTTTCATGTCCTTACAGGTGCAGTTCCCTTTTCTGTCGGATGTTATGCAGTTTACATGAACTTGGACAAGCTGTGGCAGGAGCCTCCTGTTCGCTTCACTCCCCTGCAGAACTTAATAAACGGCTGTTTGGCAGCAGGAGTGGCTCAAACCCTCTCGTACCCTTTTGAAACTGTAAAGCGGAAAATGCAAGTAAGTTTACAGAACACCTTTTCTGCTTGTGGGGTATGTTTGGAGAACTGAAACAGGACTATTTTTTGTTTTTTCAAGCTGGAAGTAATTAAAATAGAAACATAAAGATAGATACACCATAGATATATTTTTAAAGGTGTTAAATGGAAGTGTTACAGCTGCATACCGATGCTGGAAATTAGGGCTGCCACAAACGATTATTTTGATAGTCGACTAGTCACCGATTATTTTTGCGATTAGTCGACTAATCAGATCATCATCCATTGGACGTACAGCGTACAGCTTATTGCACCAGCAGCATCTGGTCTTATATAACTATCATTAGCTTACAGCTTGAAGTGTTTGTGCTAACTAAAAATAAAGACAAGATGGTAGTTTATTAATTTTTAATGAAATTTGCAGATTGTTTCGGTGAAGTTTAATAAACTCCTTGCTTTCTAAAATATAACAGGACACCGGAGTATATTCTCCAGCGTCTCACACTTCTGATAATCAGCTGTCTGCTTGACAGTTTTAGCTGTGCAAAAACTATAACTTTAATCTCAGCCAAACCGATTTACTCAGGAACAAATAAAATACTAAAGAAAGCCAAACAATAACATTTTTAAGTTATCTAAGTGACTTATATATATGTTTAACCTGACTAGCAAAAGACGGCGGTGGGTTTGAAAACGATTTGCCAGGAGTCCGGTGTTCTCACGGCTCTAGTTAGCCTTGCCCCCGCCTAGCTAACGAGCTAGTGGGTAACAGACGTCTCCGAAAACGTCGGAGCGCTTTTGAAAATATGTGGTGTCTTGATAAACCGAGCAGATATTTGAGGTTTACACAGCTACATTCTCGCCTGAAAATATGTTAAACGTTTATTTTGTGACCCAGAAAGAATAATAAGAGTAAAGTTAAAACTAACTACCTGCCGCCATTGTTGACAACTGCGCTGGGCTGCGCTATGAATTCTGGGACACAGCTTCTTCTTCTTCGGGGTTTAACGGCAGCTGGCATCCTTGTACATGCAGTGCTGCCATCTTCTGTTTCAGTCCGTTATTACACTCTTAAATCCTACTACTCATTCCTGCGTCCTTTGTGATCTTACAAAGCTTCAAACGATGCGTCGACTATTAAATTAGTCGTCGACGATTTTAATAGTCGACATAATCGTGACTAGTCGACTAATCGTGGCAGTCCTACTGGAAATACTGTGTTAGTCTTTTTAATTAAGTTCATATTTCTTCTACAGATCTCTCAGCTGCTGACTGAGTAATTGGGAAATGATTGTAAACACAACACATTTACAGTGTAGATGCTCCTACATGCTGGCTGTAGTACCATATTTAGTCCATAAGAGGGCAGTAGATGTTTGCCTAAGTACGGGCTGACCTTACTCAGCCACTCAATGATTTTGAGTATGGAAAGTTAACATCAGAATTACTTCAGTGGTGATTTACCTAAATATAAAGAGAAGAGATATTTACTGCATGTGTTTTAAAATATTATAATCACAGGAGTCGTTGGTCTGCACCATGTTGCTTTTAAATAAGGGTGTCTATACGCTGCAAAGGACCCATTGGGAACAATGGTGTGGCAAAGGACAGGATTCTACATCCGGTTTTATCTGCCTATTATTAGATGGGTTCAGCAGAACAAGGTTCAACAGCAGCTGGGAATGTGAATGTGTCCCAGCTCTGCAGAAGCTATAGATATGTTCTCTAAAGATAGCCAGCAAATATCAGACAGCCGGCGTGTGTTTCCAGTCTGCTGAAGCATCGCACCGACGTCACTTACTTTAAAGAACAGTCCTGCGTAAAGGCTTCATTTAGCTATTCAGCTGTAGTGTCTGTCATTAAAAAGCTCAGAGTTAAACATTAATTCGGGACAGAGCACAGAGAATGGGGGGGAAACAGCGGATGATGTTTGCTGAGGCTTGGGGTAATGATTTAAGACGTGTATAGTTTAACTTGCTGGCTAGCTTGGCTAGCTTTAAGTGTCCTCTACAGATGAAGCTGTTTGAATAGTCCTATTGGTCTCGTGCTTTATCCATGAAACACAATAGTCTACTTCTGATAGTTGCTCTCTGAATCTTTGGCACTACTTTGGTGGCCCCTCCAACAATATGAAGATATTTTATATTTACCTGATTGGTCCTGTGACTGTCCTTTTGCATTTACTGATAAATGACAGCTGAATAAAATCAAACACATAGTGTCACAATATTATGTCCTCTGACCTTCCCGGTTCTGAGTTAATAAGCACCTTCAAACTCTGATTCACCATTTCCTATTTTGGCTTTCATTCTTTTTAACAGGCACAAAGCGCCCGTCTTCCCCATTTTGGAGGAGTCGACGTCCATTTCACTGGAATGATCGACTGTTTCATACAGGTGATTAAACACAACGGCGTCCTTTCACTGTGGAACGGCCTTACTGCCAACACAATAAAGGTATGATTCACTTATACATTGGTAGCAATTTCTTGTTATATGGCCAAAGTACGGGTCTGTTTGATCTTCTGTTATATAAATAAGAGCATTTACGTGTTTTACGCAGGAACAAGGGGCGGGGCATGGAAAGTAATGTTTAGTGTGCGTAGTTCACAGCAGGAATTTCACTACCAAGGTGGAACAGCATGCTCCGCTCTTAAAGCTACAAATCCCTTCATAGCCCAAAACTGTTTTTACTTGTGACCGTTTTAATGAAAATAAAGTGCATACCGAGTACAAGTTCTGTCGATCTGTGATCAAAATAATAAAGTGTTGGCGTGACTTTAAAATGCAGTTGTCTTTTGTCACTCCCCTACAGATTGTTCCCTACTTTGGCCTTCTTTTCACCTGCTTTGAGATGTGCAAGCAGGTCTGCCTTTACCGCAACGGTTACATTATCTCCCCCCTGAGCTACAAGCTCACACCGGGGGTCGACCAGAGCCTCGGGCCGAACGAGCTGGAAGAGGTCAAGCGCCACTTGAAAAACAGGAACTTTGGCTCAGGGGATTCGTCTTTGAGAAATCGATGGTGATGCTTTACGTGAAAGATGCCTAGTTTATTAAAAAAACGAGAGAGAGGGAGCAAGAGACTGAAAAATGACACAACAGCAAATCCAAGGGCATCCAGGAGCCTACCTCTCTCAGACTTTTACATTTTATTTAAAAGTATTTTAAAAAGTTGTTTACCCATCCATGATTTACGATGGCTTTTTACCCGACATGTGCCTTTTAGGATAAATATTTATTTTGGGAGCTCTTTGCTGCATTAGAATCAGTGCCATAGTCTGCTCACATAAAATAGTTTTTAAAAAAATGCTCATGGATTCTGTGAACTCTGACCATCATGAGCGCCATGTGACAGGTTATAATTTTAATGTATGAATGAAGGCAAAAATTTTAATGAGTTTTAAGTTAAAGTATGTCATTATTGATGATGTATTCTGCTAACATGGAAAGAACGAAAAGTGTTTGTGAGGTTTAAATGATTTGTTTTTCATTCTGAAGGTAAAAACATTGATTTAACCTCCTGTTTGCTGAAACCCACATTCCTCTACGGTGACTTTGCCCTTAAGTTGTCTGTCAGCAGTCTAACCCGTTTTCAATTGTTTAAAGTTACTACGGACATGCACCTTATTTAAGGTGCTTGTACTTTACAAGAGTATTTCCATTTTCTGCTAGTTTAAACTTGACATTGACCTCTACTGTTTTGTTTACTCCAACAAGCTACTTTTCAGATTCTGTAATATGTGACGCATTATTATATGAAAAGATATTAACAAGAATTTTTTTTATAGCTGAATACGTTTACTGGTTTGTTTCTGCATTTTCGGTCAACTCTTCAACCTCCTCTCTTGCTTGTAGTGGTAATTTGCTTTAGGCCAATTTGTTATTTGGTTTAAAGGTCTGTGTGCTCAGGTTGAGAGTGAAATCAGTCAGGTGACTGTATCACGTCAGCTCACGTGGGCAACTCAGTGGCAGCCAAAGGACGTTAACAGCTGGGATGACCTTTACCATAACTGTGAGGCCTCATCTGCCCCAGAATGACATTTGACACGACCTTCAGGTTAATATGAATAAGAATAGTAATAATATAACGCCGTGACGGCGCCTCTCACTTCTGTTCAGATGCGACTTTGCAAGTTTTAAAAAGTCGCAAAAGTAATTCATAAACTTTCCCTCATGCGGGGCTGATCTCGTGCCTCGATTTATCTGAGTGACAAGGGAAAGCTCCAAATCTGAATCGAAGGTCATCACCTGGCCCCGCCCACTACTCCCAGAGCCGGCCAATCGCAGAAAAGAATCGAAGTTCACGTTTTTTCTCGCGCACAGCCTCCTTAAATCCCCTCACTTCTAGATAGGATTCGGCCATTTCAACCCCACCAACAGAGTAGCTGGACGGCGGCTGATAGCAACTGAAGATGAGTGAACAAGCTATTTCCTTTGCCAAGGACTTCTTGGCTGGTGGTATCGCCGCTGCCATCTCTAAAACAGCTGTAGCTCCCATCGAGAGAGTGAAGCTTCTGCTCCAGGTGAGTGTGAACTGCTTATATCCCTGTGCAAACACCTGAAAACCTAATGACACTGTAATTATTGATATCAGTCACACACGTGTGTTGAATACTGCTGTTGCTCATTTGCAGCTTTTCTTCTTATTTCTTATGTTTGGAGGGGAAATTATTAAAATGCTTGTGCGTGTGGCAAATGGTTTAAAATCTAGTAGTAATGGAAATCTGCTGCATCGTCAGGAGTAGAAACTGGGCTAAAAATAGTAAATCGAAGCGGCTCTGTCAGAGATTGGTGCAGGCACAGATGAGGAGCGAGCATAATCGAGGCGCACCACACTTGTTATGTAATAGACCGGCCTGAATGCTCGCATGAAAAGCGGCATTGTGACAGGAGAATGTGACCGTCTGTTGCCACTGCGGTGTTTAAAGTTATTCTCGTGTCAAGACAGGTCATTAGTTTGTCTTGACATCAAACAGCCAAGGTCACAGCAAGGTTTGCGCCATGGCGCTTCACTGCTGCATTGGGCCCGGCCTCAGCAGTGGCAGGGGGCGGGGCTGTGAACTGTTGAATGAAAGGGCTGTCCACCTGCACATGAAAGCAAATGTGTGCGACTCAGTAGAATAACGGGAATCTCCCAGCTTAGACAACTCCGAAGGTGACCAGGTGAAAGCTTGAAGAGGAAACGGGATATGACGAGCTTCACTTGTTGCTGCCTCTAATGCACTGCGGTGTCTCTGCTTTGTTTACAGGTGCAACATGCCAGCAAACAGATTGCGGTCGACAAGCAGTACAAGGGCATCATCGACTGTGTCGTTCGTATCCCCAAAGAGCAGGGCTTCCTCTCTTTCTGGAGAGGAAATCTGGCCAATGTCATCCGATACTTCCCCACTCAGGCCCTAAACTTTGCTTTCAAGGATAAGTACAAGAAGATTTTCCTCGACGGCGTGGACAAGAGGAAACAGTTCTGGAGATACTTTGCGGGTAACCTGGCATCTGGCGGTGCCGCCGGAGCTACCTCCCTCTGTTTCGTCTACCCCCTCGACTTCGCCAGAACACGTCTCGCCGCTGATGTCGGCAAAGGGGGCCACGAGCGTGAGTTCAAAGGTCTGGGAGACTGCTTGGTGAAGATCTTCAGGTCCGATGGCCTTAGGGGTCTGTACCAGGGCTTCAACGTTTCAGTACAGGGCATTATCATCTATAGAGCTGCTTACTTTGGCATCTATGACACAGCAAAGGGTGAGTGTTTGCTGAGAGACATTACAAAGCTTTATGTCTTTTTACATAGCAGTTTTTAGCCTTTTAATCTCACCGGCTAATGTTTCTCTTACAGGCATGCTTCCTGACCCTAAGAATACGCACATTATAGTGAGCTGGATGATTGCTCAGAGTGTGACTGCCGTAGCTGGTCTTACGTCCTACCCCTTCGATACGGTCCGTCGTCGTATGATGATGCAGTCTGGACGCAAAGGAGGTAATAAAACCCCAACAAAATCAAAGTATAACTTCCTCTTCTTTTCCCCCACTGTTCTATTTAAATGAGGTTGTAACATCTGTGTGATTCTGTCTCTTCCCCTTCAGCTGACATCATGTACACGGGCACCATTGATTGCTGGAAGAAGATTGCACGAGATGAGGGCAGCAAGGCCTTCTTCAAGGGAGCCTGGTCTAACGTGCTGAGAGGCATGGGTGGCGCCTTTGTGCTCGTCTTGTATGATGAGCTTAAGAAAGTCATCTAAGATGTTTTTGTATGTTCACTGTTCATGTTGTGAAGTTTAACTGTAACATATCTTGTACATTTGGAAGGACTTAAATGCCGAGCTATATTTATAGGGACCAACTAGTATTTTCTACTAGTTGTACTGGGGGAATATGTTATGCACTCTTCTCTTGGCCCATTCATTTTCTTTTTTGTTTTGCCCCTTACCAGAATGTCATTCCCTGAACACAGGAACCTTGCCAGTAAGCGAGAAATAAAGGCAACCTACAGAGTGAATCTCCGGCCTGGTTTTGAGGTGTAATGCCATGTATAAAGTGTACGCGACAGAGTGTGACTGCGCGTCTCCTCAGTCACGCCTCCTGAGGAAGATATTTGGCTGCCTCTTGTGAGAAATGTAATCTTAGACTTGCAGGTTGCAGTTGGGGGGGCGCCAAAATCAGCTGCGAACGTTGACCCGCAGACGATATTTTAACCGAGACATGCTCGCAGCGAAATGATTCGCAGAAAGTCATTAGCTTTAGCAGTCTCCTGTGCATTTACAGAATTATAAAATAGTTTCGAAGAACATTTGCACAGGTGACTTCCTCTAGGATTACCTGTTGTAAGGTGGATTATTCCAACCTTCTAAATATACTTTTATCTCCTGCCAAGCCTCTTCTGACTCCCAACTGGTGTGACTGACGACTACGACCTTGAGCCATTTGTCCAGTTACCAGTTTGACACACAAGTTATTTACTGTCACGCTGAAGGGATCTCGGGATGAAATGAAAGTGTACTGGAGGAGATTTCTGCATTCTGGCTGGTTATTAAAACACATAAATGACAATGTAGAGGGTTTCTAGTGGGGTGCACTGCTTGTGTCCACGTGTATTTAAAGGGGGTGTCATAAATTCCTGCTGATACATGATCCTGGCATGCGTAAAGAGGCACATGATTGTCACTTGTGTAGGACAGGACATAGTGTTCTTACTGGTCCAGCTAATCGAGGGTGGGCAGGCCGTTCTATAAAAGTCAGCTGCAGACTTTGTGCTCTTTGGTTTAACTCAACTTTGGTTCAGTTATGTCTGTTTAATTAAATTCAAACCTAGCTTAATGTTTGAAAGTCAAGAGAAGTGTCTATGTAAACAGTTTGATCTAACAGTGGCATCCTGACACATGCTGGGCATGAGACCATGGGGACACTTGGCCACTTTAATCGGCTCTCTTTATTCAGACATGATAGAACTGCTGCCCCCTCTGAACATCATCTCTGCATTTATGCATTTTTTTTTTAAAGTTTCATTTTAGAGGAAATTTGACAAATGTTACTAGTAAAAGAAACTGAGGGAAAAAAAATCTTTGTAACCCAGGTTCTGGATCAGTGCAGCGTATTCAAAATCTCTAGCCGCTGTGGACTGTTAGCGCCCCAGAAATCCTCCATGAGTCTTAAGTCACTGCTTTAATTACTCTTACCATGAGTGAATGAGAATATTAAGGTCTTTGACTCACTGTGCAGCTCTTAAAGTTCATCAGAAGTTTAATTCTGTCACTGGCAATGTGCCTTTAGTGTTTTCCACTCTTTGATCCAGTGATATGTCCTCAAACTTAATCACTTACTTCCAAGATGACAAGCAGAATTAATCAAATTAATCTTGACGAGACACAATGACTACGACTTGGACGCTTAACCCAAATTGATCCTGAGTGGAGGACACAGTGCTGCTAAAAAGAGGCTAACAGATTACATGATTTACTCAGCTGGACTAATCTTGCTTTCAGTGATTCACAACGACTTGGACCCGACCTCTTACCCACAGAAATGAGTTTTAATGCCGTTTTCTCCAGTCTGGTCTGAAAGGCCCTTCTCAGCAGGTAGCCCATAGTTAATCCTTCATTCAGTAGGCCTCACGTTACAGCTGTCCCATTACAGCTTTAACAGGGATCACAACCTTTTACTCACTGTCTGCGTGGCTTAAGATATGCCACAGCTCCTTGAAGTAACACGAGTCCTTTACTCAATTCCTCAGTCATAAAAATAGATGAATTTCGCTGGTGGACTGTATTACTATTTCTCAATATTATTTCATAGTGGCTCCAGTAACCACTTGAGTAGCGGTTTACACATTTGCCTAAGAAAGATTTAGTCCTGGGAGTAAACACAAAGGACATCCACAGTAAAATCTCTGCCAAATCAAACACGTAGAGCTGCCCACTGTGGCAACCCCTCATGAGTAAGGGAGCAGCCCAAAGCAGCTTCTTCTCATTATTTTTAGAACCTTTATTACAAACAGAAACACACGCTGCTCCCGGACATTTGCAGTTTTTATGATGGAGAGTAGGCGATAGCTTCTTAAGTAAAGGTTGCACTGCCACAGGGGAAAAAACACTAATGACATATAAAGCCACATAAAAAAAAAAACATTACCTGAAGCATAACATGACCAAATATAAACAAACTCACCCCGTGAGTGTTATCTCTCTGTTTTACTACTAAAACTGAGGCTTTAATGTCTCATTACTAGTGTTTTACTGTTATTATGTTATTATGAAAAAATGTGGTGTGGTTAAAAAAAAGTAATATTTACACAAAATGAGTACAATGCTGTGCTTATGTAAAAGTACATAGTTACATTCCCGTACTACGCTATGCAGGTCTACGGATCACTGAAGATACCCTTTACTACCCTTTACTCTGGGCGATGAGAAACTTCTGTCAGCCGGGCTGTTGCGTAATTTCGGCTGTTAGACCGAGTTACGTCACGGGGTCATGACCTCAGAGCTTTCCACTCATGGCAGTCTCTTCTACCGTATCTATCACATGATCCCAGTAAAAACAAAGACTCGCATATGATATTTGCTCTAATATATATTAATACAACAACGATTCTGGTACATTTAAATGTTACTATGTTAAGATCATTATGCGGGTGCTTTTTGCGTGCTAAATGTGTAAATAACCTAACTATTACAAAACGTGCTGGAAACCTTTTATTTTGAAGGTTTCCAGCACGTTTTGTAATTGTTAGCTTATTTATACAATTTAAGTCCTGCCAGACA